GCAGGGCCGATGGGGAGGTTATGGCTCTACCCCTTCATACACAGAGCAGGGCCTGTGGGGGGTGGGTTGGGGTGCCGCACCCTGTCACACACAGAGCCGCAGGGCGATCAGGGGGTTGGGGAGCTCCCCCCATCAGGCACAGAGCAGGGCTGATCAGGGGGTTGGGGCGCCTTCCCCTGTCACGAACAGAGCAGGGTGGATAGGGAGGTTGTGGCCCCGCCCCTTGTCACACACACAGAGCCACAGGGCGATCAGGGGGTTTGGGCGCTGCCCCCTGTCACGCTGATCCCGGTGCCGGGAAGCCTCTCGGCTCCGCTGATCCTGGTGCTGGGAGGCCTCGCGGCTCCGCTGATCCAAGTGCTGGGAGGCATATTACCCTTTTACTATATAGGATAGAGGCCTGGTGCATGGGTGGGGGCCGCCTGGTTTGCCCTGAAGAGTGTCCTGAATCAGGGTGGGGGTCCCCACTGGGGTCCCTGGCCAGCCTGGATGAGGGGATGATGGCTGTTTGCAGCTGGTCACACATCCTTCAGGGTGGGGGTCCCCACTGGGGTGCCTTGCCAGTCTGGGTGAGGGGCTGAGGGCTGTTTTCAGGCTGGCGGGTGACTGAAGCTCCCAACTGCTCCTTTTTTTCTTTTTCTTTTTTTTAATTCTGGGCCTGCTTTAGCTCTGGCTCCGGCCGGCTCTGAGGCCTCTGCTGCTGAAAACAGGTATCTGGTTTGTTTGGGTTCTATAATCGAAACAATGTACCAACTCCAGCTCTGAGATCCCGGCTGGCTGAAAGCAGGTTTCTGGGGTTTTGTTTAGCTTCTATATTTGTAGCAATGTTTCAAACTGCAAGCTCAGAGGCCGGCATGGCAGGCGGGGAACGTTGGAGTCCTCCGTCACTGAAGCAAGCAAGCCTCATGTTAGCTTCAAGCTGTCTGGCTGCCGGCCGCCATCTTGGCTGGCAGTTAATTTGCATATCACCCTGATTAGCCAATGGGAAGGGTAGTGGATGTACGGCTAATTACCATGTTTCTCTTTTATTAGATAGGATAGTCTTACCCTTTCCAGAAAGTCATATAGTTAAAATCCTACACTTTGACTTCTTAAACTTAGCAAGATGCATTTAAAGGTTTCTCCATGTCTTTTCACAGCTTTATAGCTCATATTTTTTTTTTCAGTTGAGCAACATCCCACTATATGGTTATACAACAGTGTGTTTATCCTTTCACCTTTTGAAAGATATCATGGTTATTTCTAGTTTTTGGTGATTGTGAATAAAGACGTTGTGAACATTTGTGTGCAGGTTTCTATGTGGACATAAATTTTTAACTCAATTGAGTATATACCTCCCTCTGGGTCATATGGTAAAATTATATTTATTTAGCTTTAGGTAAAGTCATTTTGCATTCCTACTAGCAGTGAATAGCATTTGATGTTGTCAGTGTTCTGGATACTAGGAATTCTAATAAGGTGTGTAGTAGTATGTTGTTTTAATTTTCATTTCCCTGATGACAAATCATGTTGAACATCTTTTCATATGCTCATTTGCCATCTTATATCTTCAAATCTTTTTGTTGTCTATTCAAATCTTTTACTTATTTTTAAATTGTGTTTTTAGTTTTCTTTTTGTTGAGTTTTAAGAGCTCTGTATATTTTAGATACAAGTTCTTTACCAGATATATTTTTAAAATAAAGTTCAGTTTATCAATGTTTTTCTCTCATCGATTTCACTTTTGGTGTTATATGTAAAAGTTTATTGCTAAATCCAAGATCACCTAGATTTTTCTCCTACTTATCATCTAGAAAGTCTATTATTTAGTATTGTATATTTAGGTCTACAGTCCACTTTGAGTTAACTTTTGTGAAAGGTATAAGGACTGTGTCTAGATTCATTTTTTTTTTTAACATATGGCTGCTTGTTGTTCTAGTACCATTTGTTGAAGAGACTTTCTTTTCTTCATTGAATTGCTTTTGCTGCTTTGTCAAATTTCAGTTGACTATATTTGTGTGAGTCTATTTCTGGGCTCTCTGTTCTATTCCATTGATTAATTTGTTCTTTTACCAATATCATGCTAACTTGATTACTGTAGCTTTATAATAAGTCTCATGTAGATACTTATATTTATGCCTAAGTATTCTGTTTTTTTTTTTGCTGCTAATGTAAATGATATTGTGTTTTTAGTTTTAAATTCCAAGTTTTCATTACTGGTGTATAGGAATGCAATGCCTTTTGTATCCTGCAGCTTTGCTATAATCACATTGTAGTTTTAGAAGTTTGCTTTTGGTGGTGGTTGTTGATTTTTAGAGATTTTTTTCATAGACAATCATATTACCTGCTAATGAAGAGTTTTATTTATTTCTTACCAGTTTGTTTAGCTTTCTCTTGTCCTAATGGTTAAGCTAGGAACTATAGTAGCATGTTTAATAGGACTGGTAAAAGGGAGCCTCCTTACCTTGTTCCTGATTTTAGAGGGAAAGCATCGATCCTCAACATTAAGTCTGAGGTTAGCTGTAGGTATTTTGTAGATGTTCTTTATGAAGTCTAAGTAATTTCCTTCTATCCCTAGTTTGCTGAACTCATTGGGTGTTGGAGTATCTGCTTATGTGGTCTTCTTTTCTTCTTTAGTGATAGATTACATTAAATGGTTTTTGAATGTTGAACTAGCCTTGCGTAACTGAAATATATCCCACTTGGTCATGGTGCATATAATTCTTTTTATACATTGTTGAATTTTTTTCCTTTCAGCCATTTTATTTTTATACCTAGAAATTGTATTTTAATTTTTTATATTTTCTACTTCTTTCCTCATCATGATTATTTTTCCATTGAATCATACAGACAGTATTTACAATATCTGTAATTTGTAATAGTATTTGTAATAACTGTTTTAAGGCTTTTTATTTCTGAGTTTGTTTTTGTTGACTATTTTCCTTCTGATGTGGATCACATTTTGCCTTTTCACATGTCTCTTAATTTTTTATTGGATTGTAGACATTGTGAATGTTTAGATTTTGTTACTTTTATTTAAAGGATGTTAAAGTTTATTTTGTTTGATAGGTAAATTAATTGATGTTCAGATGAATATCTTTTAAGCTTTTTTCTTTCTTTCTTTTTTTTTTTTCAGCTTTCTTAGGGCAAGTGTAGCATAGCCTTTTCTGGCATTCTGATTCAACAAGTATATCTTTGTCCATTTTTCTCTACCTTTTATGATTCTATCCTTGAGTTCATAATTTCTTTCTTTATACAACTGTGATTTTTTTTTTTTTTTTAGTACATTGTAAACACCTAATGTTTTAGGCAGGAGAGAGAGGTGAAGCTAAATATATTGTTAAAGAATTTCACTGACCACTGTGTAGTTTACTGGGACCACCTCTAGTGATGGGGAGTTCTGTTAGGGGGCTATTACAGGAGTCCTAGGAAGAGATGATGGCAGTTTGCATACTGGTAATTGTGATAATGGAGATAAAAGTGTGATCATTTTCTAATTACAAACAAAAATGACATTTCATGAGGAAGTTTAATGAACACCATCTTAACCAAATATAACTTCCTCAGGGAAAGTACAAATGGACTTTCTTTTCTTTTTATGGCTCTCTGATGTGATGTAAGAATGAAAGTATGTTAATTTTTTTTGGCTTTCTAGAATATGCTTTTCCTAATTCTTTTTCTCTTACCTTCCTGTGATTCTTTTCTCTTCTGAATTCCTAATGATAGAATTATTTGGGTACTTTTCCTCATCCTAGAATATAAAGCTCCCAATGTGAAAACTATATGTTAATCTTTCTTCTTCTCACTACACTTATCATTGCTTTTAAAATGCTACTCCCGCATAAAGGTATCCTACGCAGACAACAACAGACCAACATCAGATAACCAACATCAGAATTTTAAAAATTGAATTAATTATGAAACACTTAGGAAGCAAGTGCCTTTTTAACTAAGTTGAAGTTAAGAGTGCTATTTTATGGTTTAGAGGTCAAAGGTCTATGACCTTTAGCCTTCTCTTCCCTTTCCCTCTAAGATCCTATAGAGAGAGTTCAGTGCTCTTAGACTCTAAGAGCATCACAGGCCAGGAAGAGTCCTTTAAAGGCTCACTACTGACCTCTTCTTTTTTCAGAAACAATCCTAAACAAGTGGCCTCAGACATGTGTATCTCCACCTTGTTTTTCAGAAAACCTCTAAACAAGACTTTACAACTTCTCTTGATAAATTGTTATAGATGACTCATGCTGTCAAAAATTTTACTTTGTAATAACTAGTCTAAATATTAAATCTTGCTAACAACAATTTTATGATTTTATTTTCTCTTATAAAACTATACCTGGAAATATCCTTTGTTTGGGGCCTTATGTTGTATTTTAGTAATTCCCACTAGTCTAGGCATTCCCTGTTGAATGAATGGATTTAGGGCAATAGCTTCTCCATTGATGTCAGCAAGATCTGGAACTTTTGTAATATAATAGTCAGGGCTTGATTTTTCCCAAAACCATCATGTCAGTTCTTGCTGGTAAAAGCTGCAGGGGATTCCTGTGACTTTTCAGATAAAAATACCTCAAGCACTATAAATCATTACTTTTAAAACAAGGGAATTTAGTTTGTTATGCATCCAAGCAGCAGTTTGGGGGAATCATATGAGTGTGTGTGTGTATATTTGTGTGTTTCCTTAATGCTATGTAAGTTGCTTCACGCATCTTTAGTTGGTTAATACTATATTTACTCCCAGTTTTGGAATTCATTGTCAAATAATTTATGTTTTCTTAGCTTTTGGTTTCATTATTGGTGAAAATGTTACATTTATTGATAGTCTCTCTTTTTTTTTTAAATGAACACACTCTCATTAAAAATATATGCAAGATCATTATACTGGTGTTATCTTCCTGACTCTAAAGAAAGGAACTTTTAAATAAATTAGTTATTGTCTCCTGTGTTATTGAACATGTGGTCAGTTGTCATGTTCCTGCATCCAAATGATCAAAGTCTGAACTTCTGTCTAATTCTTCCCTGCTGTTAGGCTACCCTGTCATGATCAAGGCCTCAGCAGGTGGTGGTGGGAAAGGCATGCGAATCGCTTGGGATGATGAAGAGACCAGGTGAGATGCTGTCCAAAATATACTTTTGATGAAAAGTACAGTTACTAGAGTTTTATGAATCTGACAAGTAGACAAATATCAAAAACATAATGAAATAATTACAATCACCATCTAATTTTTGCTTTTTTCCCAATTTTAGATGGGAAAAATTGGAATTATGCAGAAACTTCCTTACTTATATTTTCATGATGATTACCGTATTATAGGAAGGTTTTTAATTTATTAAACATTAAGAAAGGATAATTTTTTCATTTTTACAGTCTACTTTTAAAATTTACAGTTATGATTCCATTTTCTAGGCAAAAGTTACTAACATTTGATCGTGTAATTCTAAGTGCAGCCAAAGATTTAAACCACATATTTAAAAGGTGTCATTATTTCATTTGTTTATTACTCAGTATGTACTTGCTTTCATTTCCTTGTTTATAAAAGTAGTGAAATACTTTGATACTTTTATAGCGTAAAATATATATCTTTTTTAATTTGAAATTACTGTATGTCCATTTTATAGTGCACTCCATTGTAAATTTAGAACATTTTTTATTAGTAGTTCAGAAATTAAAAGTATATTTTAAAACAGTAATTAAAAAACCCAAAGCATTGATTATACAAAATAATTTTTTGAAAAACTGTCTAATATGAGCAGGTTTTAGGGGACTCTTCAGATTTGTAGTCTTATTTATTTTCAGGATTGGTAGTAAGAGAGATTTATGTCATTTTTTGGAGAGGGGTAAAAAAAAATCACTGAATAATTATTGTTGCATTTTCTACCCTTTACCCAGAAGTAAATTGGTCTTCTAAGCTGCTAATTTTGCTGTCTCCCTTTCTTTCTCTTTTCCTTCCCACTCCTCAAAATCTCTATATGACAGCAATCTGGAGTAGTTGGTATGAAAGTCATCCAGTACAATATTAAGTCAGAAATTAGGTTCTAAAGTGAACAAGGAGGTAAAAAGCTCCTAAAGGCAATATACTAGCCATTAAAATCTTTTGGGAAGACACCACATTGCGGACTTACACAGATAGTTTTAACGCTAACAAGAAAATTGTCTCAGAACACCATTATGACTTTTGTTAAGTGTCAGAAAGTAATTGGCTTATGATGTGGAGTGATGATATACGACAAATGCAGGTCTTTAAACCTCAGTCTCACTCTCAGAGTGTCACTGATACCTGATATCGACTGAGGTAATATCAGATTCTCTCCCATCTTAAGCTTACCCTACCAGAATAAACTCATTGCATGGATGGCAATATTTGTTGAGAGCCTACTATGTTTTAATAACATTCCAGGAATACAGCAATGAACAGAAACAAACAAAATAATTAATTCCTCCATACAGTTTACACACTAGCTCAGGAGTTCTTAACCTTTGAATTCAAAGACCCGTAGAATTCAGGGACTGTTCATGCAGCTGGATGAGTTTTAAAAAGTACATATTTCTTTCATTATCATCTAGTGGCAGTTTAGTGTTTCCTCCAATATAGGCAACAAACTATATTAGTAGTAGTAGTATCTCTGGAGATTTTCACCACTTAGGAAATCACATACAGTATTATCTTATCACATTACAGTTATAGATATCTCTAGGTTATACTGATTATTAGACTTGTTGGAGCTTTTTGATGAATAAAGAACCATATACATTATATCCCCAAATTGTTTAAAAAATATTTTGATACCTGTATTTTAATGTAATGTATTTCCTATGCAATTCTGTATATTTTCTATGTGTTTTAAATCACTTTAAGCCTTATTTTGACAGAAAGTTCATATGCTGCATGTTTCTGCAAAAGGGATCCTGGCATAACCAAGGTCCAGAAAGCCTATACGATAGAAAGAGATAAACAAAATCAAAGTAAATCATATATTATGGTGGAAGGTGATAAGGAGTATAAAAAATAAAGGAGGAACTCAAGAGGTCTGGAGAAGGTTGGAGGAAATTCCCATTCTAAACAAGATGTAGGTTTGTCCCCACTGAGAATTCACATTGTAGTAAGGAGGGAAGGACCCGGGCAAGGGCAGAGGCCTCGACCCCAGAACATGTCTTGAGAGATCCAGGAGCAGCAAGGTGGCCAGGTGGTGGAGGGAGGGAGGAGTACAAGGAGATGGGTCAAGGGGTTTTGGGTGGAATGGGGGCAGATTATGTAGGACGTTGTAGAGCATTCTTAGTGAGATGACGGAGCATTGGAGGATTTTGAGTAGAGAAGTCACTTTAATGGAACTTCAACAAATTCCTGATATTTACTTTTTTAAAATTATAAAACATTTCAAACATATAAAAAAGTAGAATATGATGAACTTATATATGTATCAACCAGGTTAATCAGTTATCAAGATTTTGTGGCTTAAGTTTTAAAGCAGGGGTCCTCAAACTTTTTAAACAGGGGGCCAGTTCACTGTCCCTTAGACCGTTGGAGGGCCAGACTATAGTTTAAAAAAAAACTATGAACAAATTCCTATGCACACTGCGCATATCTTATTTTGAAGTAAAAGAACAAAATGCGAACAAATACAATATTTGTATTTGCATGTGGCCCGCGGGCCGTAGTTTGAGGACCCCTGCTTTAAAGGATCACTGGTTGCTATCTTGAAACAGACTTAACGGACAGTAGAATCATGAACTCTGAAATCAGGGAGGCTTTAGCAATAATCCATGCAAGAAAAATGGCGGTGGTGGCTTTCCTCAGTGTAATGGTGGAGGTGATAAGAAGAGAGTTTAATCCTCAAAGTAGAGGCAACAGGATTTGCTGAGTGATTTGATGCAGAGGATGAGTGTACTCCAGGATTACTTGCAGTCACTATTTACCTTATTTTTTTGCTCTTACTCTCTCTTTGGTCTGAGTGTTGATTTATATGCATTAAATGCATATGCTACTACACTGTTTTATTGAAAATTTCTTGGGAAAGACTGAGAGATTAAGGCCAGAGTGAGGGCTTTTATCTTCAAAATAGTAAAGCTTAATTGAAGAAGGGTCTGGTTCTTAGCCTCTCTGGAATTCTGTCTGGTTTGATTCCTTTTGGTAGTGGGGACTTACCTTTATATTACTGAGCATTGGTTAACTACGTGAAATGTTTGAAGTCAGGCTGACTGGTTGCTGTGTTTGGGTGGAAGCAAGTATAAGGGGAGGAGGCATGTTTAATTTCATTTTTACCACAGAATCCATTTTATTTGTCTTTTGAAGTTCAGATGTTAAAGTTATCTTTTATGCTTTAAATGTAACACCTGTTTGCCAAGTAGACTTCATGGGTGGCTTGGGCTTCCTCACAGTGTGGTAGCTGTGAACTTTTTACTTAGGGACCCAGTGATCCAAGGGCAGTTGTTTCAGATACAAATGGAAGCTCTTTCACTGTTTGTAATCCAGTCTCAGAAGTCACATAGGTTCCCTTCCACCATATTTCTGCCCAAATCCCGTAGGAAGGGAATTAGATTCCACTTCATCAAGAGGGAATAGCAAGATTCTTAGAAGAGCACGTGGAATGGGTGTGGCCACTGGGACCATCTTTGGGAAAGACAATCTGCTACAGCGTCTTTGTAGGAAAGACTGATGTAATGAAGATATTAAACACAACATAATGGCTTTATAAGAAATGTGGATTTTATGAACTTTAGTGTGTTTTTTTTCCTCCTTGTTTCCCCTTTTGTATGTATGGCACTTAACTTATATAGCAATTTTACTGAAAGCCTTAGCATTTACTTTTCATAGGATCTCAGATTTCTTATCAGTCATTTCTCCAGGGCTAATGTTAGTAACATATTCTTTTATGCTGAGGATTGCTCTAGTTTCTTGGCAGTGAGGTTTGCTGTGCTGCTGTTGCCTATGGATCTTAATTTAGAATTCAGTGATCACTGTATTCATTCATATATTAGGCATCATTTGGTAAATAATTTAACCATTTTTTGGCCGGTAAATGGCATATTGATTTTAAATATGCTCATCAATTCACAAAAGTACACACACAAATTTTCTACCTAAAATATTATTTTCTTCAACTTGATAAATAAATCATCTCTGAAACTTTGTTGAGATTAACGAAAGCATGAGACTATTTGATTTAATGATATATGCTCTTTTTGTTTTTTTTTTTTTTTTTGTTGTTGTTGTTAAACCTCACCTGAGGATATTTTTTCACTGACTTTTAGAGAGAGTGTAAAGGTCGGGGAGAGACAGAGAGAGAAACATCAATATGAGAGAGACACATCAATTGGTTACTTCCTGCATGTGCCCCTATCAGGGCAAGGGATCAAGCCTGCAACCAAGGTACATGCCCTTGGCCAGAATCAAACTTGGGATGCTTCAGTCTGAGGGCCAACACTCCATCCACTGAGTCAGAGCGGCTAGGGCCATGCTCTTCATTTTTAAAAAATTGCTCTATGTCCTGGAAAAATAAAACCTATGCAAAATTTGAGAGAATAGTCCAAAAAATCCCATGTATTTATCTTCTACAATCACCAGCTATTAATATCATGCTGCATTGCATCTATTCCCTGTCTATATGGTTGTGAAGGAGGCAATTTAAAGGAATATTTAAAATATCAGGAAATGTTCTTGAGGATTCTCCTGTTGGCTGTAGTTCTGCCCCAGCTGTGCAGTTGGCCAGGTCATTTTCATTTCTGTGTGCATCTGACTATTGAGTCTAATGGATATGTACTTTTATATATTTTTTATTAGCGGAATTATGATATACTAGAGTCCTTGTGCACAAATTTGTGCATGGGTGGGGTCTGACTGGCCTGCCCCAATCAGGGCTGATTCAGAGCAGGACCGGCTGGAGGAGGGGCCACGGGTGGTTGGCCAGCTGGCCCTGCCTCATGGTCGAACTCCCGGGCGAACCTCCTGGTTGAGGGGACGATTTGCATATTAGCCTTTTATTATACAGGATTAGGGTTGAAGAAATGGAACTTTATATGTTTGATATGGTTTATTAAAATCTCAGGTTTAACAGTCTACAAAATGAGTACCAATATTCCTGTTTAGATATAAAATCTAAGATCAGGGAAGTTAAATCATCACCCAAGGTCATAGAGCTAGTAAGAGGAAGAGCTATAGTTCAACCAAAGTTAACTTAGTTATTTGTTCACTAAGTGAGTTTTCCTCTGCATTTGTTCAGAAGTAAGCCAAAATAAATATTTAATTCGTTTTCTTTTATATTAAGGGCTGTATTTTTTTGTTTGTTTGCTTGACTGTTCTTCTGTTTCCCTTTACAGGGATGGTTTTAGGTTTTCATCTCAAGAAGCTGCTTCTAGTTTTGGTGATGATAGGCTACTAATAGAAAAATTTATTGATAACCCTCGTCATATAGAAATTCAGGTTGGTATATTTTAAGATAATTTCTAATTATTATGACTTTAAATATGTCATTTTTTCCTATCAGAAACATATCCTTTCTTCCAGTTAGAATGATTGTGAATTGTTCTGATATGTTGGAATAATTATAAAATAGAGAAAGTACATAAATTGATAATCTACCTACCTTTGGAATCTGGTATGCTTTTGTCAAAGTGCCAGAATGTCAGGATGCAGAATGATATAAAAGCCCAGCTCCAGAAAGAAGCTGTCCCAAGATCTCTGTGCAGGATAAATATATTACACATAGAGACTTATTTGGTCTTCTGAGATTGGGCCATTTTAGGGTATTTTAAAAAGAAAAGTGCCTGACCTGGACTCTTGTGTCATTTCAGTTAACCAGATGTCTGTGTGGCTCACTGTGATATTCATTCTACTAGGAGCTAGTTGTATAGAGATGAAGGAATCAAATTTGCTACTCAAATTAAGATTTTAATGAAACTGTTAAAGTTTGTAGGGGTTGGTTGCAAAAACAAAATGTGTTTTTTGAAATAAAACATAGAAGAAAAAGAATACAATCCCGCTCCTGATTGCCAAAAGCAACAGGTATTCTGACATCTCATACCATAGATTATTTTTGTTTGTTCTTAAACTTTATATAAATGGAATCAGGCAATATATACTTGGTTGTGCCTGGCTTCTTTTGCACATCATCATTCTTTGAGATTCTTTCATGAGGCTATTTTATCATTCATTAAAAAAAAAAAAATTGCTCTGTGCTGTACTAGTGTTTGAATAACCTGTATTTTATCCATTTTCTTTTGGTGTATCATGTTTTTTTCTAGTTTTTTTTCTATATTATGAATAAAATGATATGTTTTTTTATGGACATATATATTCTTTTTCGGTTATACTGAGGAGAGGTATGTTTGGATTACATGGTAAGGTTATGCTTAGTTCTAGTAGATACTGTGGTTGTCCTAATGTATACTCCACAAGCAATATATGAAAGTTTCCATTGCTGCCATTCTTTACAAAACTCGCTATTCTCAAATTTTTAGACATTTAGCCATTTTGGCAAACATGTAGCAGTATCTCTGTTTTAGTTTGCATTTCCCTGATGACTACTGATATTGAGCACCTGTTGTAAGTGTATGACCAGGTGGATATCTTATTTTGTGAAGTTACTGCTCAAGTCTCATACTTGCCTCTCTCCCCTTTAAATTAGATTTTTAAAAATTACTGAGTGGTTGTAGCTATTTTTATTTGAGTCCTTTGCCAGTTATATGTATTGTATATATCTTCTGCACAGAATCATTTTTGTGACACTTTTCAAGTTAGTTGTCTGCTTAGAACATTGCCATATGGGATTGTGCAGGATGTGAGTACTGTGATTTGGGTTGTGTTGTGGGCCATCTTTGGATATTAGCTACCACAACTTATTCCCTTATACCCAATGATCGTGTCCTTTCCATAAACAGAATATACCCACTTTCCTTCCAAGACCAGGATCTTGTCTACAGACTTGGTCCAGGTCTGGTTGAGACTTCTTGTATATAGTCCCGTAAGGGCAGTTCTTCTGATGGGAGAACCTCTGAATTTTAAGGCACTCTGTGACACCTACTCATCCAACATACAATGATGAGAAAAGGATACACACTGCAATAAAATACCACCATTCAACAAGATAGTAAGAGGGATGCACACAGTATTCACTGGTTCTTCACAATTGAGAACCAGCAATTGAAACTGAGAGATTTCTTAAGAGGTTCTTGTGGTAATTTTAGATGTACTTATTGCAGCTATCTTTAAGAGCCATAGAAATAAAATTCCACCTTATTGGAATTTTATACAGCGTTTTCCTTTTGTTTGAAATCATTCTTGAGGTTTTGATAGATTAATTTTTATTTCTAAAAAGTAACTTTGCAGTCATATTAACTTTATTTTATAGTTTGCTATATCTGTTCTAAAGATGATCTCCTTTTTTGTTTTATTTTTCAGTACCCATATGAAATATTAAGATTATATTAGCTGCTATTTATAATGCATGAGGAAACTGAATGACTTATTCAGGGAGATTGCATAGAGCTGTTTAGAACTAAAATTAGTGCCTAGTTTTTTGGTTTGTAGAATAGTTTTTACTTCTGTTTAATATATGCATTCAGTAATAAGCATTTCCTCTTTAATTCCGAAAAGAGATTATCCCAATTATGAAAATCAAACATGCCATGCAAAAACATTAACAAAGAGTCTGTTTTAGGGTTGCCAGATTTAGCTGATAAGATCCATGTTAAATTTGAATTTCTGTTAAACAGATATATATGAGTATGTGTGTATGTGTGTGTGTGTATATATATGTGTGTGTGTATATATATATATGTGTGTGTGTGTGTGTGTGTGTGTATATATATATATATATTTAAAAGTATGACTATGTCCTCTGCAGTATTTGGGGCACATTTTTATTAATTTTTTCATTGTCAGGAATTAAAATTTCCCTGGGTGTACTGTTTTATTTGGTATCCAAGCTTATTTCCCATTATTACAAACTAGAGGCCCAGTGCATGGAATTTGTGCACTGGTAGGGTCCCTAGTGGCAGGCGGTGGCTGGCTGGGTACTCCCTCCCTTCCCCTGGCCATCTGCCACCAGCCAGGGCCTCCATCCCTTCCCCTATCTGGCCCTGCCCCCTGGTTGAACTCCCTGAACTCCTGGTCGAGGGGACAATTTGCATACTACCCCTTTTTTATATAGTATGGGAAAATCATTGTATGCTATATATTAACCCCAGACCATTTACTAGATTCCTATACCAAAAATAAAGCAAAATAAAAGCATCCATATATAAGTAACGGACTTGTATTGTGTATAAATAGAAAAGTATTTCCTGATTAACAGTTAATCATGTTAACAACAGATGTTTGTAATAACAGTCATGGCTCTCCTAAGCACAAGGACATGTAGAATATGTATCCCCTTATTGACACTCAGCATCCTTCACAAAATTTGTACAATTGATGCTAATAGTTTACCCACTGCTTTCAAAATGTAATATGAGAGTTTTTGTCTCAAGTGTTTTTGATAAAAATGTTTTCAGTTTTTGGGTTTTAAATATAAAGTTTTTTTCTATTAACATCAACTAAAAGAGGAATGAATATGTTCTCTGCAGTTTGAGTATTAAAAACCAAGGGGTGTTGCATGGACAAAACATTAGCTGGACGGACACATGCTCTATGGGTATGGCTATATATTTTCTCAGATGGTATTTCTTTTTCAGGTTTTAGGTGATAAACATGGGAATGCTTTGTGGCTCAATGAAAGAGAGTGCTCAATTCAGCGAAGGAATCAGAAAGTGGTGGAGGAAGCACCAAGGTAGGTCTCTCCATGAGTATTTATAATTGTCTGCTTTTATATATTTCTTTTTCATTTTATTGGCTAAACTTGCTTTAATAGTCATGGTAAAACCTATCTAATCTAATAAAAGAGAAACATGCAAATTGACCGCACCTCCGCTACACCCCAAGCCATGCCCACCAGCCAATCAGAGCGACCGTATGCAAATTAACCCAACCAAGATGGCAGCTGACAGCCACGGAGCTGGAGCAAGCAGGAGGCTTGGTTGCCCTGGGGATGGAGGAAGCCAAGCTTCCTGCCTGCCCTCGCTGGCTGTGGCCTCTGCTCAAGGCAACAAAATTTCAATTACAGAAGATAAATAAATCCCAGATACCTGCTTCCAGTCAGCCTCCACTGGGAGCTTGGGTGGCTGGGGGCCGTTGTGAGCCTGCAAACAGCCATCAGCCCCTCACCCAGGATGGCCACACCCTCATGGGGTGAGGATCCCCACTGGAGGGCTTGGCTAGCCTGCAACAGCCATCAGCCACTCACCCAGACTGGCCAGGCACCCCAACAGGACCCCCCACCCTGAAGGAGCTGTGGACAGCCTGCAAACAGCCATCAGCCCCTCATCCAGGCTGGCCACGCCCTCATGGGGTGAGGGTCCCCGTTGGGGGGCTTGGCCAGCCTGTAAACAGCCATCAGCCACTCATCCAGGCTGGCCAGGCACCCCAGCAGGACCCCCTCCCAGAAGGGTGTGTGGCCAGCCTGCAAACAGCCCTCAGCCCCTCACCCAGGCTGGCCATGCACTCCAGCGGGGACCCCCACCCTGAAGAGGGTGTGGCCAGTCTGAAAATGACCCTTGGCCCCTCACCCAGGCTGGCCAAGCACCCCAGGAGGACCCCCACCCTGATCTGGGATACCCTTCAGGGAAAACCAGTCGGGCCCCACCCATGCACCAGGCCTCTATCCTATATAATAATCCTATATAATAAAAGGGTAATATGCAAATTGACCCTAACAGCAGAACGACTGGGAATCACTGGTCACTATGATACACATTGACCACCAGGGGGCAGACGCTCAATGCAGGAGCTGCCCCCTGGTGGTCAGTGCACTCCCACAGGGGGAACTCTGCTCAGCCACAAGCCAGGCTGACAGCTGCCAGTACAGCGGTGGTGGTGGGAGCCTCTCCCACCTCCTCAGCAGCACTAAGGATGTCCAACTGCAGTTTAGGCCTGCTCCCTGCTGGCAAGTGGACATCCCCTGAGGGCTCCTGGGCTGCCAGAGGGATGTCTGACTGCCAGCTTAGGCCCAGTCCCCCAGGGAGCAGGCCTAAGCCAGCAGGTGGACATCCCCCGAGGGGTCCCAGACTGCGAGAGGGCACAGGCCGGGCTGAGGGACGCGCCCCCCACCCCCGAGTGCACAAATTTTTGTGCACCAGGCCTCTAGTCCTATATAATAAAAGCCTAACTTGCAAATCAACAAAACGATGGCATGACTGGTGGAACGATCAGTCGCTATGATGTGCACTGACCACCAGGGGGCAGATGCTCAACACAGGAGCTGCCCCAGCCCTCAGGCCCCAGGCCAGCCAAGGTGGGTGCCAGTTGGGGGCGGGGGGGCCTATTGCCTCGCCGGTCCCCCCACAGATCAGCCCTGATCACGGGCCAGACCTAAAGACCCTACCCATGCACGAATTTAGTGCATCGGGCCTCTAGTATTTTTGTAATTAAGATTTTGCCACCTGGCCTTTCTCAGTACTTCAGTGCATGAAAATAAGAGACTTGAAATATAAGTTGGGGCTTTATTAGAGATGGAAGTTGGTTGGATAACCAGCTGTGATGCCCACAGGCTTGTAGGTAATATAGACCCTGTGGGTGTTCGTGGGCATATGGGATTTCTGGGGCACATGCCTTGTAGGCTCTCCTGTTGATGATTTCACAAAGTTGATGTTTTATTGAGTTGTACACTTGAAACCTATATAGTTTTGCAAAGCAATGTCACCCCAATAAATTTAATTAAAAGACAAACAAATCACCAACGAATTGTATCCATCAAAGGGATAAAAAATATTAGGTTGATCCAGAATTTCTTGAATTTATCCTACCATGAAAAGGCTCCTGGGCATGGTTCTTAGAAATTCCATAATTTATCAGAACTACTTTGGACACTTTTCCAAGCCACCTTTCATGGAACTTCATTTTTCATTTGATGCCAGGTTGGTATGTGTATATATTCTGGTGTTATTTTAGTTCTTAAAAACCCTCAGTTAGTGTACGTTGCTGTTTTTAGTAACCAGGCTCTAAGGAATATAGCCAATTGTGGCTTTCACCAGCCTAGCCAGTGTGACTTAATATAAAGGGTGTATAGTTTCTGAAAAGAAAAGGTGTGAATATGAATGAGTTTTTAATCACAGAGTAATGGTAAAAATCAAATTCCGCTTTAATTATATTAGTTGTTAAAATATGGTTGGTGTAGTATTTTAAAATAGAGTCCCAAATCCTTTGTTACTTCTTTTGTTGAGGAGTTGGGGGCATCAGTGTTCCCTCCCCTTGATTCTGTGCTCTGTGACTACTTGACCAATAGACTACATAAAAGTGAGGCTGTACCCAGGCCTGAAACTGCCAGCTTCTACTTCCTGTTTTTTGGGACATCACACTTAGAAACCAGCTACTGTCCACTGCAGCCTACATGGGGCTGGCCCTTAGCTGATGGACCAGGACCAGAATGTAAGAGGGAAGTGGGGAGAAAAGGCAAAAGGAATGCTCTGTTGTGTCTTTAGGAAGGCTCCTAGTGTTACAGAAAAAACCGGACCAGAACCAAACAACGCTCTGAGAGTTTGGAGTTACACTTTATTTACCGCGGCGGGCTCAGGGAAATGAATCCAAATCTAAGCAAAGCTACAAGCAGAACTTCCCTTTTTATAGAAGAGCCAGCCCTTTGTGTGCTTGTTGGTGGCGGCCTTGAAAATTATACAGTTCAATCCAATTAAAAAATGCACCTGGCATGGCATTGGATGTATCTAGTCTCTGGCTTACAAGGTCAGAGAGCTAAGTTTATCTCCCCCACTATTCAAGCAGGCTAGAAAGCAAAGTTACTTTTTCAGAATAAGAGGCCGTCTAAAGAATAGCAGAGAATTCCAAACAGTAGTTTTATAGAATAGGGGTTTTCCTTCACATTCCCCCCTTGTCCCATAAGCTTTCCAGCCTTGTGGTACAACAACCACGGGATGTTAAGGTGAACAGGGGCGTTGACCGATCTTTTACTGCTTCCTGCTGAAAAAGGGTGACGTTTAAGGGCTTAACATCCCATTTCTTCCTCTTGGGGAGGTTTGTAGGGAATTCTTCTGGCTTGTAGGACCATTTGAAGTTTAAAGGCACCTAGACGGGATGAGATAAAGCAAGTTAACAGCATTAGAAGACATGGTCCTAGGATTATGGCCATGAGTAGCATTAATAGTTGTCCTGTCAATGGAAGGAGCTATTTCTAGATCCCCCCCCTGCCCCCATGCAGCCCAGGTCTCAGATAACTTCTGTTTTATTTATTTTGTTTCTTTTTTATGTAGGAAGCAGTAATTTTATGGTGCTTCTGTATTCCAGCAAGGGCAGAAGAGTTCTCCTCCTGGGACTAGCCTCGGGTTCCTGTGGCATTCATAAAAAGACAAAATGAAAATTGCTAGAAAGATAAAAACAATGATTATCTAGAAATACCAGAGCATTTTGCCTTTAAGAGAAGATAAGAAACGAAGTGTAAGGAAGAATTCAGCAGGGTGTTCTCTGAATTCTTTGGAGCAGGTTGATTAGCCAGGTCCGTTGTCTTCTTGAGGGTGATCTGCAGCGGGTGTGTCTGGTCAGAGGTCACTTTCTAGTCAGGCTCCTTGCTGTCCTGGGCACAGAAGGAGCTGGGCTTGTGACCTGGCAGAGACAAACTATAACAAATGGTCTGGTGGAAGGGAAAGAAAATATTTCAGTTTTAATAACCTCTATTGAAATAGGATTTTTCTCCTTAAAATTCTTCTATGGTTATTAAAAAGCTAAATCAAGACTAATTTATCTATTGTATTTAATTTGGCCTGATGTTTGCATAAACACAACAAGAATGGTAACTGACTACCTTTGCTGGAATTTCATGGTTGAATCTTAATGTGCCCCGTAGGGCCAGGAAGCCAAGCCATCTAGTTGCCATCAGGCCTGCCTGTAGTATCTGCTGAGTTAGGTGAATCCCTCACCTGTAGCAACTCTACCTGAGCCCACGCTCTAGGTTTTAAGGCCCATCTCAGTAGTCCTCCTACTCGTTGCAGCCCAGAGTGAGTGGGGGTTCCGCAGGGACGCAGAGGCGTCCTTATTGCTTCCCTTCTACTCTGACCAACTGCCAGTGATGGTAGGGCATGGGCCTGATGCTCCAGCGCCAGCCATCTTCAGGGCTCCCAAGCAGGATATCAGGATTTTCCCGTGGCACTTTTATTGACTTCAAGTCTTCAGAGTCCAGACAGGTCTCTTCAAAATATGATACTCTAGTCAAAGTTTTTTATTAATAAAACCACTATTAGGAATCAGTCTTATTGAATATATGCAAAGAAATGTATTGGTATGATTTATTAAGCATTGCCAAATTTCAGAGGAATTATATAAGGAGAAAAACATACTGACCTGATATGCTTTAAGATTTTCTGGTTTTCTTTGCCAGTCCCTTTTCATGGACTCTTTAGAGTAATATAACTGTCCTCAAATGGCAAGAAGAAATTTACAATATGTCTGCATTCAAACAGATAGTTATAGCTCCCCCTGTAGTAGGGCTCCCCTTACTTGACTTGTTTTCTCAGAATGGACTAAAGGAGCTCTATTTCTTTACAGGGTCTTACATGTTACAGGACCTCATAGGGTCTGTAATTTCTGTAACAGAGGGCTAGTATTTATCCCTTTACTATTTCCTTCTGTTTTAAATAGGCTTTCTCCAGTTTCCTACAGTTGAGGTTTGTACCACCCCTGACATGGGCATGGTCACACAGGCCTGCAAGACAGTATATAGGCTGCCAA